AAAAAAAAAAAAAAAAAAAAAAAAAAAAAAAAAAAAAAAAAAAAAAAAAAAATCATTAGTAATAGTCTTATAAAGTTTCAGTTTTTATAGAGTACAAATTATTAGACGACTTTGTTTTGGATTTTTTTAAAAGGCTGACACCAATGGAGAAAATATTATTTGATTATAAACTCATGATAATTCTCTAAATTAGCTGATGTAAGACTTTCATTATCCAACAAGAATGACAGAGTCATGTGTCTTCTGTCTCGGGCATTAGCAACCTTTATTTATGATATGTTATTTTACTTATTACCTTATTTTCTTTTCATGAGAGCAATTTTATATGCGTGTCAAGCTGTTGGGCTTGTGAGGGTGTCTGTGGGTCGAATTGTCTACATCGAGTGGGTTGGGCAGCACTCGATTAGGCTGAGGTGTGAAGGTACTGGGTCGCGTCTGTGGGCTGAAGAGCTGTGGGGCGTCCGAGCATGGCAAAGTTCGATCAATGAATTTGTGATTTGGGTGAATTTGGTCACTGAAGCTGTGGTTCGAACTCAGGTTTGGATTCTGAGTTTGAGGTCTAGATCTGAAGCTACTTCTGATTTGAAAATTTTGTTTGATTCTATGTTGTTTGATCGTTGAACTAGCCCCTTGAAGTTTGAATTACTGAATTAAGATTCTTCATTCGGGAAAGATAGCGAAGCTTTTGTTAGATTCAGTCCAGAGGCATCATCCCCACCGGGTCCTTGAAGAACACTTCATTTCTCTGTTACGATCATGTAACACAGCGGCGCTGCTTCAGAAAGTTCAAGCCCAGATAATCACCCACGGTTTCCAACACAATGAATATGTAGCTCCCAATCTGGTATCTGCATGGGCTGGTCTGAAGCGAATGGATTATGCCCGCCATCTGTTCGATCATTTTCCTGACCCAAAACTAGCCCTTTGGAATGCAACTTTCAGAGGGTATGTCCGTAACGAGTTTTACAGGGAAGTGATTTTCTTGTCCGGGAAAATGAAGAGCATGGACGTGAAACCCAACTGCTTCACCTTCCCTCTTGTCCTCAAATCATGTGCAAAGATCAGTGCGTTTGTCGAAGGTGAACAGATACATTGTGAGGTGATTAAGGGAGGGTTTGAAGGGAACCAATTCGTGGCAACTACGCTGATCGATGTGTACTCTGTCGGGAGGGCGATTGGGTCTGCGTACAAGGTGTTTGTTGGAATGCTTGAGAGAAATGTAGTTGCTTGGACTTCCATGATTAGTGGTTACATTTTGTGTAATGATGTGGTGTTTGCTCATCGACTTTTCGACTTGGCGCCAGAACGGGATGTCGTGCTTTGGAACATCATGGTTTCTGGTTATATTGAAATAGGGGATATGGCGGCTGCAAGAAAGCTGTTCGATGCAATGCCATACCGAGATGTGATGTCTTGGAATACAATGTTGAATGGGTATGCAAATAATGGAGACATTGAGGCTTGTGAGCAGATGTTTGAAGAAATGCCTGAGCGGAATGTTTTCTCCTGGAATGGATTGATTGGGGCATATGCTCATAAGAGGTGTTTCTTTGAAGTCTTGGGTTGTTTCAAACGAATGCTAATTGATGGCCTTGTTGTTCCCAATGATGCCACCCTCGTCACTGTGCTGTCCGCTTGTGCAAGATTAGGGGCTCTTGACTTGGGGAAGTGGGTGCATGTATATGCTGCAACAATCGGGTTTAAGGGAAGTATTTATGTTGGAAATGCATTAATAGACATGTATTCAAAATGCGGTGTAATCGAGAATGCAATGGAGGTTTTTGGAAGCATGGATTCAAAAGACGTTATTACTTGGAACTCTGTAATTTGTGGCTTGGCAACTCATGGATGTGGGGCGGATGCATTAAACTTGTTTCACCAGATGAAGATCACTGGCGTGAAGCCTGACGGAATCACTTTCATTGGAGTGCTGTGCTCCTGCACCCATCTTGGGTTAGTTGAAGAAGGCACCTCATATTTCAACTCAATGGTCCACGACTACTCAATTGTGCCTCAGATTGAGCATTATGGTTGTATGGTTGATCTATTTGGGCGAGCTGGACTTTTGGACCGAGCGATCGAGTTCGTGAAGAGGATGCCGATGGAAGCAGATGCTGTCATCTGGGCTGCTCTTCTAGGTGCATGCAGGATTCACAAAAACATTGATCTCGGTGAGTTAGCTCTTCAGAAACTCATTCAGCTTGAACCGAAGAACCCTGCAAACTATGTGATGCTATCAAATATTTATGGAGATGTTGGGAGATGGAAAGACGTTGCCCGGTTGAAGATATTAATGAGGGACACTGGGTCCAAAAAATTGCCCGGATGCAGCTTGATTGAGGTGAATGATAGCGTAGTTGAGTTCTATTCCTTGGATGAGAGGCATTCTCAGAGCGAGGAAATCTATGGTGTGTTGAAGGGATTGATGAAATTGTTAAGATCATTTGGGTATGAACCAAATATTATGGAACTCCTGCAGGGATGATGAGAACCAAAGTGCCGAACTAATCTTAGTTACATGGAATGGATTGATGAACTTAGAGACATGGGGTTGTTTGTTTTTGTCTTTGTTTTTGTTTTTGGAAATGAAATTCTTGGTTCCCAAGGCCAAGAGATCAGACATTAATGAATGTGGTAAGAAATGAAGTAAGAAGAGTGGCAGCAAAAGCATAGGGAATGGAATAGGGATACCCAAAAAGCCCTCACCAGTCTGCTCTCAATGTGCCTGTCATACTCTTCACCCTAAACCCATTTCATTCATTCATTCAATTTTTTTTTTTTTAAATAAATGAAAGCTTAAATTATTATTCTTTTTCTATATACTTTTATATTTTCCATACATTTTATAATTATGAGTTTATATTATTATATTATTAACTTAAAAAATATACTTTTAAATTTTTATGATTAAGCTACTGAAAATAAATGTGATATAATTATTAATTTTCTATTATTTTATTTTTCGTATTTTTAATTTCGCTCTCATTTAAATATAATATAATATGATAATATTATTTTTATTGTAATTAAAGATAAAAAGAACAGAAATGATGAAAATAGATGTTTTGTCATATAATAAAATGATGAAATTGGGAATATAAAAAGTAAGGGTTTTTTTATGAAAGGGGTGACCGGTGAGAGTCAACGAAGCTTCTGAATTTCAATTATGGAAACTTCTTCTCTCCTTAAAAATAGGCTTCCAATATTGCCCTCCACGTCAACACGCATCATTTTATTTATTTACGGTTTGAATATTATTTTGTACTTTCACTTTTATTTTTGGTTTTATTCCGTAAATATTTTAAACATTATTGAAATTACAAAAACCAAAATGAAATGAAATTCATAGTATTTATTTATTTATTTTTTTAAACTAAAAGTTTAATCTTTGAAATTTAATAGATGAATGTAAATAAAAAAATCAGTCCAATAAATAATAAGCAAAAAAAAAAAAGAATAATATTCATAAAAAGGACATAAAATAAGTCTCTCTCTCTTACTCAAATTATCATAAAAAGGCTAAGTTTGAAGCATATGATCTCAATTCTTTACAAAATTAATTTTCTCAAAATTTGATTTTAAATTTCTTTTTTTTTTCTTTCCTTTTATAGAAAGTGTAGGAGAGAGAAAGAGAGATGGGGGCAAAAATGGAACAAAAAAAGAAATAGTAACTGCCATAGCTGGAAAAAGCTGCAAAACCTACTACGCAATGAACCTCTTCACAATCTTTACGCTTGCTTCCACTACCTCTGCCTCCCATATTTCTGACCGTTTCTCCGCCGCTTCCGACCCCAGCACCGCCACAACCGCCGCTGTCGCGTCCACTCTTTTCAGGTCCCACCCCGCTCTTCTCAGCCGTCCGATCTTCCCTAACTGCCTCTTTGTTAGCTTCCACGTGTTTTCCTTTATTTTCCGTACCGCCTCTTTGTATGCGCTCGCCACCACTGGATCCCCCCCCTCTTTGTACTCTCTCCCTTTCGGGTGATGCCGCCGGAAAAACTCCTCGAATTCCGCTACTCCGATCGCCTTCCTCAGCCCCACTCGGGTCTCTGAATCGGCAATTTCCGGGTCGTAAAACTCCGCCAACTCCCTTACCATCCCGGCCTCTAACATCTCGTCAACCCGCTTCGACAAGTACCGTTTCAGAACCGGAAACGACACGTCCACCCACAGAAAGCAGCACCGGTACCGGAACTCCGTAGACACCCGATTCCGAGAGTATCCGAAGACGTCGTGGGTTGGATCGAAATCCGCCGCGACAAGCGCGTGAATGAAGGAGTTGGAACCGCCGACGACGAGAGGAAGGTTCCCTCGGGAGATTACGCTGGAGATAACGGCCGCGGCGTGGGAGCGGAATGCTGATGCGGAGACTTCGCCGGCGAGAGGATCGAAGTCGCCGAGAAGATGGTGGGGGATGGCGCGGCGGTCGGAGAGGGGGAGCTTGTTAGTGGTGATGTCGAGGCCTGTGTAGAGTTGCATTTTGTCAGAATTAATAATCTCGGAGGGGAAGCGGGAGGCGAGGTCAATGGAGAGGGAGGACTTGCCGGAGCCGGTGGCGCCGAGGAGGAGGATGAGATTATGGGAGGGGGAGGAGGAGGAGGAGGAGGAGAGGACAAGTGGGGATCGGGGGCGGCGGGAAGAACAGGAAAAAGGGGCATTAAAATGGGAATGGAGAGAGGAGTGGGAGAAGGGGAGGGAAAGTGTCATAGGAAGTGAATGATGAGGTAAACAGACATAGACGGAACGGAGGAGGAGGGAGGTGCGTGGCGGAGCAGACGACTGTGTTAATGGCGGGGAATCATCACACACGGGATCCTGTTTTTCCTCACCATTTTCCAGTATTATAATATTCCATTTTTAATTTTTAAAATTTATATTAAAATACAATATTATATTTTCATAAATATATATATATATATATATATATATATATATATATATATATATATATATATTAGAATGTTTTTAGAAATTTTATTAAAAATTAAAATTATCTATTAAAAATCGAACGAACTCTTAGAAAAAGACAATATCTACTTGGACTAATATATTTTCAAAAGATTGACTATTAAGAATTAAGCTTTCATTTGAAAATATCATATAAATTATAAATAACTATAATAAAATGTTAAATATAATATTTATATGAAATGCCTGTTTAAGAAAAAGCATAGGCTAAGCTATTTATGTGGAAGAGGCAAGTAAATATGTAATGGTGTAAAATGATATCTTCTAAGCTTCCTAATTTGTAGAAGAAGATGGGTATACGTAATCCCTTGGAATCTTGGTAAATCTGAAGCTTAATATTCACATGATTTACTTATTTTGAACGTTTCCATCTTGATTTGTTTTTCCTTTTAATATCATATTCCATAATCGAATATATCAGAGCATGATAGAATTGTTGTGTTTGGGTGGCAATGGCTTGAACTCTTGGTTGTAGGTGAAGCCTACAACCTAATAGTGCCCTATCGGGTGGTAGGTATTTAAATCTGTACCATCTAGCTTGACCTTGATCGGTTAAATAGGATAGTGTGTCAAGTCGACAAAGGTGTCTCTATCTTGTGTGAAAACGGATCAAGGGTCTCCTAAACATGGTCACGACTCCATAAACCCATCTTAAGCGGACACAAGGGACCACATAGGTAGATTCAATAACTAGTCGGTACATGGATCGCTCTCCTAGACTATTTGACTTTATGGTTCTTGTGGAAGGGTCGTTAGCTAACCATACACAAATATGTTCAGAGAGATGACATCATACTGTCCCAATCACTTCTATGGGAGTGTAGGCTAGCTAAGTATGAAGAACAAAAAAGTAGGTTCATCCATTGTACAAAGATCCATGATGCTAAATTTTTTTATCAAATGTCTAGACTCCCAAATGGATTAGTGGCGAGTAACTTCAAAGCCTCCTCAAAAACTTAGATAGCTATAGATAATAGGCTCAAACTTACTAGGAAGAATGCAATTAGATTGCTTGTTGAGTATGTTTTATTCTTCTTTTTTAGGGGAATGGTGCTAGCTAGTCAAGATAGGGGAGTGTTCGGGAGTTGTACGATCATAGAAGAGGATATGGAGTGCCAGTCATGTGTATTAAGTGGTGTTGTCTATATATTTTGTGTATCTCATTCCCTAGTCTCTATTTTATAAGACTAAACTACAAAATATTTAATCTCTTTACAAATCTGTTAATTAAGAAAATTCACGAGTTATGAACTCTTACCTATCTGGGCTTGTCCTTTTATTTGTATAGGTTAGAATAATTTTTGTAGCCAATTTTATATATCTACCATTTTTAGGATTCGACCAAATAGAGAGCTGAAACATAATCTTGAGAGATGAATTTCACTCCTTTCTATAAGTAGATGAGTAGATGAGTAGTTCTTTTAGACTTGAACAATCGGACCCAACCTCTCAAAAGGATCAATCATACTTGGGTGAAAAATATAATTATCAAAGTAAACAAAGTTTTGATCCTGTAATAACAAAATAACTAGTAAAAGATCAATTTACCTATAGTGATTACTTATTAATGGACGAAAAACAAAACAAAAAGGAGCACAGTTCTTCCATATTTGAAAAGTTTAACATTTTTAAAGTTGTTCCATTAAAATGTGAAATGAGGCTGTACAAACATATATCCAGCTAATAGGCAAGCTTCAAATTCCCCTAAATGAGAATAACTCGTGGAAATGGAATGAATGGGGAACGTTCTGCCCGGACCAAATAAACGTAGTGATACAATTTGATCTTACAAACGCTTAGAACTATGATCTTACTTCCAATCTTCAAAATTGTTATAAAAAGATTTTCTGACGCAATCAAATATATGAAACCAACATACATTGCTACTTAAATTTCTTATAATCGAAAAGTGTGCAATGAACTTGTTGGTGGTGTGAATAGGTTGACAGAAAGTCTGGCAGTACACAGAGATGGAATTGGCTAGATTCAGAATTCACAAATATGGGTACTAATCTATGATCACAATAAGCAGAAAAGATGAACATAGAACTCAATTTCCAGACCAAAAATGAGTCTGACAGTTCCATTACCTACAAAATTGATGGCCATAAGCAACACAATTCATAGCCGCATAAACACAACAACACAGCATTACAAAGGATTTCACAATTTGCACAATTACAAAGTGCACAAGAAGAAGATTCGGAACTCAACTCAAAAAATTTCCCAACAAGAACCAGACAAATCTAAACTCCATAGATGCAAAGAAACCACTGAAATCAACTGAAACAAAACAAAAGGTTTAGGCCAGCAGATTTTTTGGGGGGATCAATGGGGGTTTTGTTTGACATTGAAAAAACCAACGAAGGGATTTTCAGATTAGCAAACACAAATCCCAATTGAAAGGGAGCAAAACACACCAAATCGGAGGGAAAATTACCTGAAAGAGAACGAGCACAAAGAGAGTTGCGAATTCCCAAGATCCAGTTATGGAAAATGGTAGTGAACTCTCTAGTGTGACGCTTTCCAGAATGGCCACCCTCCCTTGTCTCAGCTGATTTCCCTCGTCGTCCAAATGGGAGGAAGTGAAAGACTCTCACTTAGCTGGAACATAAAAGAGAAATTGAGAAATGAACATCTGGCAATACACTATCCACTGCAAAACCGAAAATGAAATTTTCAAGAAACAAACAGAACCCACACAGGAAAAGGAAAAAAGGGATGAAACTAAAGATGGGAGGAAGGAGAACTGACCTCGGCAGGGGGTGAGCCGGAGAAGGCATTCAATCACTGTATAGATAAGTAGAAAATGAGACATGGGAGGGTTTTTTTTTTTTTTTTTTTTTTTTCTTTTATAGT